CGGAACATTAATACATTTAATAAACTTTAGTTTTAGTCTTTTATCTCAGAACAACATTAATACATTTAATAAACTTCAGTTTTAGTTTTTTTTATCTCAGAACAACATTAATAAATTTAATAAACATTAGTTTTAGTCTTTTATCTCAGAACATTAATAATTTTAATAAACTTTAGTTTTAGTCTTTTATCTCAGAACAACATGAATAAATTTAATAAACTTCAGTTTTAGTTTTTTTTTTTATCTCAGAACAACATTAATAAATTTAATAAACTTTAGTTTTAGTCTTTTATCAGAACAACATGAATAAATTTAATAAACTTTAGTTTTAGTTTTTTATCTCAGAACATTAATACATTTAATAAACTTTAGTTTTAGTCTTTTATCAGAACAACATGAATAAATTTAATAAACTTTAGTTTTAGTCTTTTATCTCAGAACATTAATACATTTAATAAACTTTAGTTTTAGTCTTTTGTCTCAGAACATTAATACATTTAATAAACTTTAGTTTTAGTCTTTTGTCTCAGGACAACATGAATAAATTTAATAAACTTTAGTTTTAGTCTTTTGTCTCAGGACAACATGAATAAATTTAATAAACTTTAGTTTTAGTCTTTTATTTCAGGACAACATGAATAAATTTATTAAGCGTTCACCTCCCTCCCATAAATCTGCTCGTCCGGCACAAACTGCAGCTCTTCTTCTTCACCTTCACGTTTTCTGTTATTTTCCAATTAAAAGCTTAATGGTTGTGGAGTCGGGCTCGGGACGTTTACTGGTTTTTATTCTGTTGGGCCGGGCCGGTCCATTATGTGCTTGAATAAACCTTTAAAGGCCCCGGCTCCTTCCAGTGTTATGTTTCAATGCCCTCTATTAGTCCCACAGAGGGGCCTCAACACACACAAACACACACACACACACACACACACACACACACACACACACACACACACACACACACACACACACACACACACACACACACACACTTAAAAAAATTAACATGAATCTTTTGTAAATATATCTTTAAATAAATGTTTCGTTTGAATTAAATATGGATGTTTGTTATAATTTAATAAATGAGTTGTTTGAATCTTTTTGCTGCGGCTCTCTAAAATATTTAAATTCATATTTCATGTTTAAACTTTTGAACTTTTCTTCATCTTTTGAGTTATTTTAATAATTTTGGACTTGGTGCTTTTCGAGCCTCATCTTGGCCGAACTTGACCTGCACTTCTTGGAAACCCGGTTCGACCCGAACCGTGACGCCAGCCTGCAGAACCCGAGCTGCCTGACGTGTTGCCAACTCCACAGGCGCGTGACACAGCGAGGCGCGTGTCAGTGTGATGCAGATGTGTCAGAAACACAAGTGGGTCGTCAGTCCGTCCCGCAGCAGCAGAGGAGCTCCACCTCCCGGTTCTGCCTCCTGCAGAGGTTCTGCTCCGACCCGGACACGTCTCTGACTCCTGGTTCCGCCCCGGCTGCAGTCCGGACCGCCTCGGACGGGATGAACGGGTTCGGGTCCCCCTACCTGTACGTGGGGGCCCCGGTGTCGCAGCCGCGGGCCCCGCTCCAGAGGACCCCGAAGTGCGCGCGCTGCCGGAACCACGGCGTGCTCTCGTGGCTCAAAGGCCACAAGCGGTACTGTCGCTTCAAGGACTGCACGTGCGAGAAGTGCATCCTGATCATCGAGAGGCAGCGCGTGATGGCTGCGCAGGTGGCGCTGCGCAGACAGCAGGCCAACGAGAGCCTGGACTCCCTGATCCCCGAGGCCCTGCGGGTCCTGCCGGGGGTGGGCGGCCGGGGGGCCCCGCGGGGCCCCGACGAGCTGGACCTGAGCTGGAGCGGCCCGGAACCGCCGCGGAGCCGAACAGGTGGGAGAGCCGGTCCGGAGCCGCGCAGGGACGGGTTCGCTGGGGTTCTGAGGGCGAGGGGGTCCCGGAGGGTCGGGTCCGGGAGGGTCGGGTTCGGGAGGGTCGGGTCCCGGAGGGTCGGGTCCCGGAGGGTCGGGTCCGGGAGGGTCGGGTCCCGGAGGGTCGGGTCCGGGAGGGTCGGGTCCGGGAGGGTCGGGTCCGGGAGGGTCGGGTCCCGGAGGGTCGGGTCAGTCCTGGATGTTAACGAACTGTAAAATAAATAATAATAATAAACATTATTTTTGTGTTTTAGATGAAAAAAAAATCAGTGTTCCTGCAGTTTAAAAATAAAAATAATTTTATTAATCTCCATAAATTTAAAACTTAAATCTTTGAATGATGTTTGGGATTTATTTAAATCAGAAGATTGAAAATATTAAATTTAAAAGAAAAAAAAAAAACTCTTTAGAATAAAAACCCAGAAATCAGATTTATGGTCAAAAGATTAAATATTTATTTTTCTTTTCTATTTTCTCCCTGAATTATTGATCATCAGGATATTAAATATTTCAGTTTTATTATTTCTGTATTATATTCTATTATTCTATTTTTTTCATTTTATGTTTAATATTAATAAATTGATCTTTGCAACAGAAAGAAAATATTTTACTGACAAAATTTTCAAATAGTTAATTTTTTATTCATTTGTACTTTATTTGAAAACTTTAAATATATATATATATATTTTTTATCAATTCGATTTGTTTGTATTTATGTATTAATTTGACTAAAAGTCGGGTTCGGAACCGAACCGAGCTGCAGGGATCAGAACCGCAGGCTGTCCGTGTTTAGAGCTGCTGTTTGGACCGAACCGAACCTCCAGTCAGAAAACAAAATCTACAAAGAACAATGTTTTATTTCCTGTTTAAATCAGAGTTTTAATTTAAATAAAATTTCAAATCACTTAAAATATTTAAATTTCTGCAGATTTGATACGTTTCTTTAAAATCTTTGATATTTAAAATTTAAATTTAAACAATATTAAATTTCTGAACACTAAGAAACAAACAGGAGATTCAAACACTGGATTTTTATTCTTTATTTGTTAATTAAGGTTCAAGTTTCTTTATTGTCATTCCCGTCACATGTGGTACATGAGGTGGAACAAAATTGTGTGCGGGGTCCCAGTTACATCCAACAACTGCAAAAATATAAAGAATAAAAAAACTGTAAATAACGATCTAAGACATAAATATAAATAATGTAAAATAATTAAACAGCAGCCTGAACATGAGTCTGTGGTGAGCACATATGAATATAGCAGCTTAAATTACTTTTTAATTGTTTATTAATGTTGTTTGTTTCTGTGTTGCGCGCACGTGTGTGCATGTGTGTGTGTGCCTGCGTGCGACATATTACTTCAGGATTTATACAAACAAAAACTGTTGTTTTTAAACCAGTAAAAAAAAAACCTGTAAACTGTTTGTTTACTATTTATTCTTTATTTATTGTTCGTAATATTTTCAGAATAAAAGCCTCTCTAAAAATGAACCTGGATTCAGTTCTCAGTACCCCCCCCC